TCCCTCCCTCCCTCCCTCCTTCCTTCCTTCCTTCCTTCCTTTCTTCCTTTCTTCCTTTCTTCCTTTTGTTTTCTGAGACAAGCTTTCTCTGTGTAGCCCTGGCTATCCTGGAACTCACTTTGTAGACCAGGCTGGCCTTAAATTCACAGAGATACATCTGCCTCCTCCTCCTGAGTACTGGCATTAAAGGTGTGTGTCACCACTGCCCAGCCCACATTTCTTATATGAAAGTTATGAAAAGTATCTCAGATCACAGAATCAGCACACAATAGATGTTGTCAGGCACCGGATCAACTATAATTATTACTACAATTTTCTGAGTATGGATTTCATCTACTACCAGTATTGCTGTATTTTCCACTGATCCTTTGTTGACTCAGTCTATGGCCATCATTAGTATCTTAGGGATAAGTGGATCTTCCTTCTGAAGTGTGACTAATGACTTCATCTCCAAATGTTAGCCTTGACTTCTCTAAACACGTTCCACACTATGGTCTCCCCTCATTATTGTTTTGCTTTATGAAGCAAAGATACAAGCTGTTCAAGAGCCCTGGATAAAGGCTCTGCTCTTAGCACCTTTTGCTCCATAACAGGAAGATGAACAAGTAGGAAGGACACACAGACACCTGTCAACAGGACATCCAGAAAGCAAAGAAAGTCTAATGGAAAAGAGATAAAGGAGCTCACCTGGTTGCACACAGGCTTATACTTGAGCCCTGGTTTGTTCAGGATCATTTCCAACTGCCTACGATTAAAGTTGGACACCCCGATGGACTTGGCTAATCCTGCATCCTTACACTTCTCCATGGCCTGGGAAGAAAACATTGGTGGAGAATAACATACACAATTGGAATCTGACTGATAGACACGAAAAGCTGTGTTGCTAGAAAGAAGAGTGCCAAGAAAGGAAAGTGAAGTTGACTTGTATTTATCGGTAAAACCTGATGAAGTAAATGGCAAAAAAGATGATGACAATAAGATAAAGTCCTATGCTCTCCTTAGGCAATCATGATTATTGTATAGGGAGGAAAACAGGATACAGTTATCTTCTCCACGTTCACTTTGTTTTTGCTATGCATTTTTCCTACTACTTAAGCAGAACATCAGCAAGAAAGGCCATAATGTCTACAGCAAAGAGCACTCATCCTTTTCCTACATGTGGAGTTGTGTGAACTGGACCTCTCTGCTGTTTTCAGTAACATCCACTGAATTGGTTCTTTGAATATATATATATATATATATATATATATATATTCAAATATATATTGAATATATATATATATAGAATATATATATTGAATATATATGTTGCTTTCAGAGTACTGTAATCCTCATACACTCTAGTAATCTCCTTCCCACAGCTATTACCTGTCCTCTCTCTCTACAAGTCTCCTTCCCACATTCATTTTCTTTTGTTTTGAGGCCTTTAGAATTTAACCAGGATTATTGATGTGATCATGGATTTGGAAATATATGTTGGAGTCTGGTGGGTTCCTGAGTGGATACCCAACTGAAGACAATGACTGCTCCTTCCCCAGAATCTGTCATCAGTAGCTAGTTCACCAGGGAACCTATGGCTCCATGAGTCCTTCTAGGATTGATGATTGAGTATTGACAGACTCAATCTTGTGCAGGCCTATTTGAGGGTGGGTGGGCACCTGCTGAGGGATCATGTCTGCATTGTCTGTGTCATGCCCAGAAGACAGCATTCTTCTCTCTGTCTTGTGTCTCTTACATTCTTCCTGACCTTCCTTCTGAGATGTCCCAAGAGTCTTAGAAGGGCTGATCACTTACCTATCATATTCTCTTGCTTTCTATTTCTTTATTTCTTCTGTGGTCTTTATTGTAGTCACTCACCTCCCATGTGGCACAGAGATCCACTGTGTCAAATATTAAGTTTCCATGCTCATCTTGAGGTAAAATATCATCCCCTGGCTGGAATAGTAGCAGTCATTAGAGATCTTACCATTTTTACATCTCTTCCTGTAGCTATGCTCCTAGATAAATTTACGGCTGGAAATTAAACCCCTAACCTAGATGGAACAACTTTTCATATATTAATAAAGTGACTTTCACTTTGCTTTTTCATATGTTATGTGTGATAATAAACAATGCATTTGCATGTCCTGCGGGTACTAGTTGACATGTTACTTTTAATACACCTGCTCATTTCCCTGTTGTGATGTCCATTTTTCTCTGACAATGTCACTAGTGTCATTGCACTGATTTCAGGCAATTGTGAGTTGGAATCTTGACACAGGATAAATAATCAGGGCTCCAATCTGTGGCCTTTAATGTTCCTACTGCATGAATGATAGAAAGTCAGGAAAGTGAGAAAAAGTCAATTGTTTCTTTGCAAGATGAACTTTGATATTGGAACATACAGGAAACCATCAAATATTAATGAACATGAGCTTTGAGCTAAAGGCCTTATTTATCATCAATAGAAATGGCTGAAACAAAACTGACCAAACTTTTGCTAATACAGAGGAAGGGTATGGCTAAGTGGAGATATTTGCAAAGACTACTCCTTAGCTTTGTTCATTTACTTGATGTGGTAAACTTTTTCACATAAGTTATCCTAGGTAGTATTTTTAAGTTTTCTTTTTACATTTTACTTATTTTTCACTTTGTGTGTGTGTGTGTGTGTGTGTGTGTGTGTGTGTGTGTGTGTGTGTATAAAACACAGTGAATGATCAGAGGACAACTTGTAGGAATCAGTTCTTTCCTTCCATCATTTCTACAGCCACGCTTTGTTGTTCTATAACTTGTATAAGTAAAGTGAGATTTATGAATTTTATGTATTAAATCCATCTACTCACACAATGAACATCATGTTGACAGCTGAAGTTAGATAGCTCGATATTACAAATTACTTACCTTCAGAGACACTGGGAAATGAATGAGATAGAGGTCAACGTAGTCCAAATTAAGCTTTCTCAGTGAACTTTCCAAGCTAGGTCTGACCAACTCTGGACGATGAGAAGTTGACCAAAGCTATAGGGTATGAACAATGGGAGTTGTGCTGGATTAATAAGTTACCATTATCAACGGCTTTCTGTTACTTGGTATTGAGAAATTTTCAACTGCTTAAAAACTGACCACAAGAAAAATACTCACTTTCATCCTGAATGTCTTATGGTGGTGTCCATCTACATAAACTCTCATATGTGTGGCTTTTATTAGTAAATATGACAACAATTGAAGGAAAATTCTTGATATACAAACACATTATTAATTTGTGCTATAATTGTGTCTTAGAGAGCAATTTAATATTTTAATTCTCTCAGCTTCTGAACTCAATGGGGGAAGATTCAGTATCCCTTTAATTTATATAACTAAAGAAAAGTTTTTAATATTTTAATATATTGTGGACATAGTACTAGACACTTTAGCTATTTCCCAATTTAACACGCAAAGGGTTATTTTATAATGTTCTGTCTTATCTATAAATATGATTTATATTCATAATTATAATGTTTGGAGAATCACTCAGCATATAAGGGAACTTGTTGTCCCAGCAGAGTCCTCTCTGATAATGTAGTTCATGTTAAATCATAGTGCTTTCAGCAGAGTCTTAGATAAGCAAGTGGACTTTACATTAAGCTTTTAAGTTTAAATATAGCAATGCTGAGAAAGAAACATCACCTCCCATGTTTAATACTGAATGTAATATGTGGGCATGCATGAATAAAAGATGGCCTATAAACACAATTCACCAACTACAGATTTAATTGTACTATGTCATCTGAATACACCCCCTTCATTAATTTGCACAATTATGCACTGTATATATGATACCTTTGAAGTATAGAATATATCTTCCCTTTTCACAGTGCCATCTTCAATCTTGCTTCGAATAGCCTGTCCCACCTCTTCTTCATTTTGGTAGAAGTGAGAACAATCAATATGGCGGAATCCAACATCTATAGCTACTTTGGTGGAATCCATAGACTTTTTCTTGAGATGCTAAAGAAAGAGAAATAAACAGTATTTAAAGATCTCCATGATTAAGTTTTGTACAAGCAGTGACTTTTAGAGGGAACAATTTCCCCCATGTTTTCAGTTAGTTCTGCTTGGAGTGATGGATCCATTCAAGTTTTACTGGGTCTTTCCTACATCAATAAAAACATTGGTAAGAGGTTTAAGTTCCCAGATACCAGCAGACTCTAGTCTGAAAATAGTGACTAGTATGCTATGTTAACCTTTTTCTAAGCAGTTAAATAATATACATGTCACAAATAAGTATTCACAATAAAGATTAATCCTCAAAAGACATAGATTTATACATAAGAAACTATCCAGATCACAAAGAAAAACTTCAAGTGTCAGATTTTACAACAAAATTCATAATTTTAGGAAAATTATAAATAAAGCAAAATTTAAAATTATTGTCTTTTCAAAAATTAAAATGAAAAAATAAAATTATTGTCTTTTCTGTCAAGTTTGATTAAAAATAAAAAAATGGTGAAACAAACATATTCTTATTTATTCACTAATTAGAATTTACCTTTTATTTCATGCTTTAATTTTAAGGGTAAGAAGAATAAAATAACTGTAAACATTCTTTTATGAAACAGTATTAAAATTTTTTCCAGATAAGTAATAGCCATATTTCTTAAATAAGAACCAGTTAAACAGATGATGGCTGCCCTAAAGGAAAAGCCTCAGAGGAAGTAGCTAGAGCTGTTGAATGTGTCCTGTGGCTTTGGGAGCTCCTACAGGCATCTGTGTGACTAGCAAAATAATGAAACCACTCTGAAAACATTTCCATGTTTTATTAAGCCCTTCAGAAACCAAACATGGGAACTCATCAGTTGAATATACATGACTGTTCTTAACCTTGTAATTTCATAGAGATCTAAAGGTGGTTTTTTTTAAATTTTAAGTCAAGAATTTAACATTATACTGGAAGAAAAAAAGCAATCATCAATTTATATAACCGTGAACCTGCAAGCTTCAATAATGACTTAGCAAGATATGCCCACTGCTACAATAGTGGCATGAATATTATGGGAATAACTAATTGCTTTTTTGATTTAAGCCCTAGTCCACAAGACAAGTCCCATACCTGGCATCCTTACTGGGCTCATGAACCTGTAATCAGACAGGTCTTAGGCCCTAAAGAAGAACCTAAATAGATATAGAATTGAACTAACTCTTAATGACTTATCCTTATAGCCAGAGATTAATACATCTCTCAACTCTCATCAGAAAAGGTAATCAGGATATATTGTATGAGACAATAATCTATTTTCAATAAAAGGGAAAAACTAAAAAGCCACAAATCTGAAAGAGAACAATAAGGTATGTATATCCAGAAAAGTGATGTCTACTTTTAGCATTTTTGTAGGAAACTAAAACAAACTGTGTTACTGGCATGAAAATGGACACATAGATAAATGGAATAGGGTGGTGGTGGCACTTGGGAGGCAGAGGCAGGTGGATCTCTGTGGATTCAAGGCCAGCCTGGTCTACAGAGTGAGATCCAGGACAAGCACCAAAATTACACAGAGAAACCCTGTCTCTCTCTCTCTCAAAAAAAAAAAAATGACGAATGATGAATAGACTAGACTTCAGAGAAGTGAATTTATATGCTTCAAATGACTCTCAACAAAGACACTGAAGCATGAATAAGAAAAAGCACAGGTTTTTCAACCAATGACAACTAGGAACACTGACTATCTCTACACACAGGATGGAAATGGGACTGAAATCTGCCACTTGCTAGAAATATCAATCAAAATGAACCAAAGACATTATTATAAGAACTGAGATGATAAGGCTACTAGAAGGAACATGAAGCAATCTCTTTAAAACATTTCATAGGTAATTTTTGGATATGTCCTCCAAGGCCCAGGACACAATAGCAAAAGTAGACAAATGATAGTATACCAAGTCAAGAATCTTTTGCATAATAATGGAAACAGTCAACAGTGTAAAGAAAACAATCTACAGAATAAGAAAAAAGTGTCAGCCAATTATCTCATAAAGACTAGTACCCAGAATTGATATCAAACTCAGAAATAACAAAAATCAAGTAATTAAACATAAAATGCACGAATGGCTTGAATAAACATATTTCGATGGTTAACAAATAAAATGGTTATGTAATATATATTATCAGATAGTCATAATAAGTAAGTTTTAATTTTTCTTCTTTTCTTTGAAGCAAATCAAAATAGAAGGAAGATATTTGATCTCTGGATGAGAATAGTGAGTGATTACATGATCAGACCCTGGTACAGAACACACACACAGTTGGCCGCTCTCTTCTTACATGGCATAGCTCTAATGTGGTGAAACAGAGGACCAGGAGCCCATGAGAACTGCACAGGAATTGGTAACTTCCATTCTCTTAGATCTGTCTTCATTCCAGTCTCAACCCCAGCCCCATCCCTGTTACCTCTTCAGTTGCATAGGTGCCAAAGCCCAGTACAGGAATGGAGTGGCCATCATTTAATTCCATTTTCTGAGCTTTGGAATTCATCCTCATTCACTGCTCTGACCTAGCAGACTCTCTTTCTTCTGCTGCTCTCACAGGGCAGTGAACAAGTGTAAATTATATCTCCAAATGTATGACTAATCAGTGATCAATGGCATGGGGGTGGAGTAAGTTCCAACAGTATTCTACTTATAAGGAAAGAATTAGCACTAGTCCACTTATTTTTATACAAAAGAGAATTGTTAGAAACTCCCACATAGTGACTCCCAAATGATATTATTTAATAAATGTTGTTATAGAATACTCCACACATTATTTTAGATTGCTGCAAGAGACTGAGTGATTACTGAGCATTTTTAGAGTATAAAAGCTGAGATGTGCACTTTCTTAATTTTTTGTTGTTATGAAGAAGACTTTTATTGTTCATTCACTATGTGACTTACCAGAATATTTCAACATCCTACAATGGTGGCCTCTGCTTCTCTTCCATTTTCATTTGGCTCAATTTTTCTATAAATATTGCCTACAAAAATCTTAAATACTTTTCTAAATGGAATGATCCCCAGTTTCCTGTGAAGGTGAACAGGACACCATGTTCATTTTCCCACTTTCTTCTTGTGCTTTATACTTCTGGGAGAAATGAAGAATTGGAGATGTATCATTATATTTTCTTACATAGAACATTTTGGAGATTCAGGTGAAATTTAAGGTTGATTTAAATAACAGAAAGTGACATAAAACAGGCTACAATGGAAAAAATTGCTATAGAATTAAACAAACATTTTTATTAATCCACATGGAAACTACCACATTCTCCAAAGCTAAATTAAGAAGAGGTTTTATGTATCTAAATTACTGGTGTTGATCCAATCTATTTTCACTGAGAAATTTTCCATATCCATTAACAAATTGATGAGTTATTGGTTTTGAGAGACAAATGACTCATCTCTACATTGTGTAAAGAAATTCTATCCACAAAATCACATGGGGGGAGACATACAGATACTTTTCTTGAATTCAACACTATGCAAAATATCTTCATTCTTTACACATATTTAGGAGAGGATCCTGCTATTTATCCTAACTCTCTGTAGGCAGAGGCAGGCAAATTTCTGAGTTTGAGGCCAGCCTGGTCTACAGTATAGCCAGGGCTACACAGAGAAAACTTTTCTCAAAAAAACCCACAAACAAACAAAACAAAACAAACAAACAAACAAACAAAGTTACTCTGGTCATCACAGATTCTGAGGACAGTTCACTGTCCTAATTGCTTTTGTCACTTTAGAGCTACCTGTCCTACATATTTAAACTCAAATCTTTGTGGAAAAAATTCTTTATTCTCAAACAAATCTTCTATTATTCTTCAAACAATAGACATTTTTTCATAGACACTGTCATAAAGATAAAGCACAATCACAAAAATATTGCCATCTATATTCCAAAGTGGCACAGGACAGTTGTTCAACTGTACTGAAGTTTGAGTGCTATCTATCTTATTTGATTACACACCATTTGAACCTGATCCATCAAAACTAGTACTGTAAACAGAAATACAGTAAAACAAGTGATAAAGTTCATACTGAAAAATTTCTTAACGTAGAAAATGTCTAGACCAGAGAGATTTCCTTTTGAATTAAAGTGATCATTTTAAAATAATTGGAAACAATGATTGCTTAATTCTTCCAAAAGAATTCCTAGTTTGTTTCATGAGGCCAACATTACCCTAATACTAATCCAGTCACAAAATCTACAAAAGTGAAGACTGTAGAACAATATGAATACTGATGTGAAAAATATTTAAAAATATATAGGTACTCCAAATTGAGGAGTGTATTGCAAGAATCAAACACAATAAGGAGATTCTATATAGAAATTCAAGGATGATCCTATATAGAAACTTTGTGAAGTGTAATAAATATTGGGGAAAACATGGTCTTGTCAACTGATTCAGAAAACCATTTGGTAACATGTAACTTTCAGATGTGAAATAGCAAGCAAACTTGGAAACTCCTCAACACAACAAAGGGTATAAGAAGTAGCTTTGGACATCCACTAATGGTCTTGTTATCTATTCTTTGTCAACATTTAACATCATAATATATATTTTAATATATATATTAATCTTAATTTTTTGTTGTTATGAAGAAGACTTTTATTGTTCATTCACTATGTGACTTACCAGAATATTTCAACATCCTACAATGGTGGCCTCTGCTCCTCTGTATATATATATATATATTACAGTTACTGAGGAGACACTGCACTGTCCTGATTTGTTTTGTTTTGTCACTTTACAGATACCTGTCCTACATATATAAACTCAGTTTTGGGGAGAAAATTAGTATATATATATATATCACAAATAGTCTGTATTTGATAACTGAATGTTTAAGTATTTAAAAGTTATGCTCTTTTCTCAGAAAGGCAAATGTCAAATACTATAAGATACTCCACTTCTAGGTTTGTGTCCAAAATATTTCAAAGCAAGTCACTAGAAAGATATTTGCATGGTAGTACTTATGTAGCCTTATTCAATAAACTCATAATAGTGGGAGACAGCCAACATTAGGATAAAGAGATGAATGAGTAAAGAAAACTACAGCACATACATATGCAACATTATTCAGCTTTGGAGAAGAGATTCAGATCTCATCCAATGATAACTTAGACTTATTTCTCTGAAGTTGAACATATTTACGAATACATATTTATTATATAGAAAAATGAGTTTATTTTCATAAGATGACAATCTCATATGCACATACAGCAGTTTGCCTTGATGAGATATATCTACACATCACACAAACTTACTTTTCCCTCCTTTTTCTCTGCTTGAATCCCTTTCTTTTTATCTAGTATCTCCTTTTAATGCTCAGGACACCATTCCCCCATAGATTCTGCATATGGAAGTAATATCTGGCTCTTTGGGAGCTTGAATTATTTTGCTTATTTCTATAGACTAACCTCAATTTTCATCATATTAGTAATGCTCTTACTTCTCAAAACAGAAAACCTCAGCCTATTATTCATACAGTGGAGGCACAAAACCTCAGTAGCCTCAATAAACTTGGAGAGGAATTACACAATGCTAATCCCACTTCCTTATGTCAAAATTTACCACAAAGTGACACTGATCAGAAGAGTATGACAGTGTAATAGAGATGTGTAATTCTGAGGAATAAAATGAAAATATCCAGAAATTAACCCTTACTTATGTGGTATTATGATGCTTGACAACGCACCCAATAAGGAAGGAATTGTCTTTCAGAAAATGGTGTTAAGGAAACTTGACATCTCACTATAAAACAGTGAACTTAAACTGTCTCACAGTCTGTACAAAAACTATCTTTAAATGGATCAAAGACCTAGGTATAAGAACAAAATCTTCAACACCAATGAAGGGAAAATAGGAAAAAATCTTAGTGAAACTGGATTTGACTGTGATTTCCTGGTTAGGACATTGAAAACAGGCAGCAAAAGGAAAAATAGACCTTTGTCGTTTATTTGCTTTATGTATATGATTGTTTTGTCTACATGTAAGTCTGTGTACCACATGTATACCCGTTGATCATGAAAATCAGAAGATGGTGTCAGATACCCCAGAACTGGAGGTATGGATGGTTGTAAGCCCCCATGTAGGTGTGGGGAATAGAACTGGGTATCTCTGAAGGAGCAACAAGTGCTATTAAATGCCACCCTATCTCTTCAGCCTCACCCTTAGATAAATTTAACTTTGTCAAAACTTAAAACATTGCAACAAAGGGGGAATAGCTTTCTGTGAGTTGCTGTCAGGGAGGTCCCAGGAACTCCCCCAAACAATACAGATGATTACGATTGCTCTTGGATACTCACTAGAGTTCAATAGTAAAACTTTATTACTCAACGTGTCACACAATTGGGTCACAGAGCATAAAGAAATCAAGCTGGAGCCAAACTAGAAGCTTCTTCCCCATTGGCTACTCTTCATAGTTCTTGTAGGTGCTGTGAGGATTACTGGGGGAGAAAAGTCATCATCAGTCTTACCTGGATATGAATCTTACCATCTTTGATATGGACATCATTGGCAAGATGTGTTTTCCTATGCAACAGTGGCATGCTTGTTATGGTGTGACCAATTGCTTTCTAATTGGGGCTGAGGTTTGCTCCACAGGAAGAAACCAGGCTGATTTTATAAATATGGTCAAGAAGACTCTATGGTTGGGAAGGAACCTACTGTTAGTGTTTTGGTAAATGGTCTTATTGTCAAACTTCCTCATAAATACTAATGTTTATTAGCTTTGCACCCAACTTTTATCAGAAAAGTTCTTACTATAGCAGGTGGTGGTTAATGTACGTAACTGGCTTCAAGTTGGGCCAAGAATAAGTGATGGTAGAATTCTCAGCCTTAAACGGCAGCATCTCTTCCAGTCTCAGGGAACATGGTGGAAAAGAGGCTGGGAAAATGTAAGAACCAGAGACTGGGGAAGTTGTACACCAAAAGGATATCCTTTGAACATGACAGACATTGTGTTCGTGAACACATTGTAACTGTAGTTATCTGCACAAGACCTGCACATAACTAGGTCTGTCAACATGTTTCCATAGATGGGAGAGTGGCCCATGAGGCTCCAGTTCTCCCTGAGGGACTATTGGCAATTAATGGCTCTTGGGCCAGAGAGTGTTAATTTCTTCAGTGGTGTAGCCACTGGGAAGTTGTCTGTGCTCAAATAAACAAACCCCTACCCGTGCTGTGGCAAGAAGTTCCAATTAAACTTAGGGGATCACACACTAAAATAAAACACAAAAGTAGAAGGGGGCTGTTAGGAAGAAAGATTGTAAAGGATGAAGGAAGAAGGTGAGAGATGGGAATGGAGAATAAGACATTAAATTCATTATAAAAATATATAAAAGACTTAAATAATAACAAATATGTTTGGAAATGTAGAAGTGAACAATAAAAAAAAAAAACAAGTTTGTCACACCAAAGAAGACTGTCCTGGGAGTCAAATGACAATCCCAGTGTGGATAAAATATTCACAAATCGTTTATCTAATGAGGGATCAATACAAAGAATATGAAAGATCCTTATTAACACAATTACAAAAGATTCAATGTGTCAATTTGTGTATTGCAAAAGCATAACAAGTTTCTTTTAAAAGAAAATTCTCAA